CTTGTCATGTTCACGTTGCATTTCCAACTCGCGTTGTTTGGTTTCAAGCCGTACGCGTTCCCGCTCCTGGAGTAGTGCAACCTCACGTTCCTGGAGGGCGAGTCCGCGTTCTTGTTCTTCTCTTCGTATGGCAGCAGCTCGTTCTTGTTGTTCGAGGGCTTCCCTTTGCTGCTCACGTTCAATCTTGGCCAGCTCTAGTTTGAGTTTCAGCGTTGCCAAATCAGTTTTATCTGCAATATAGTAAGTTTCATGAGTTTCAGAGTCTATCTTACCTTGCTCTAAATAGTAATCCAGCAACAGGTTGTGTAGGTCATTTTTGTTGGCGTGGTAGGGAACTTCTAGTTGATACTCATGTGCAAGAGTTTGTAGTTCAGTCCTCTTGGCACGACTTAAAGTCCCTATTTCACCTGCTGGATTTGCACGGAAAGTTTGGAGACGAAACATGGTGAAATTAGCAAATAAAGGTACACGAATGTTCAATAATGAAATGTCAGAAACAGGACAACGTGGCAACTGGTACCTATCCTGTGTGATCTTTAACAATTAACGTTAAGTGAAAGATATTAAATGATTAAATTAAATCAAGGGCGCAGGAAATCTTGTACCCGGTACTCATGTAAGAGAATAAGGGCAAGAAAATCCTACTAACAAATGAAACAAAGTTTCGAAAACAAATGAAACAGTTAAATGCTTCAAAAGTAAAATTGGTAGTCCAAGGATGTAGGCATACCTTGCCAAGTCTCTATAGGACATAAAGCAAGTTTTTCCCACTGAATTTAATATGATACTTACAGAATTAGCGAACTTTTGTGCTCTGAAAAAATAAGCTAATTCCCTACCGTTGTATGTATCATCATCTCTGACTGACGTGTAGGGGTGCGAGGTGTCAACTGGTGACGAGAACTGCTGCTGAGGTCCCAATTCAGCAACTAAAGTTCGAGCTAGAGGAACTATGGCCCTCTTTGTCCTCCTACAGTCAGATTACAGAAGATTGGGTACTCTTGACCCGGGGCAGACCACAGTACCAGGGTACCAATATGATGATCTGTCAGAATGAGAAATATTCAAGGGACATAGATGGTAAATACGAGTAATAACAAGGAGGGAGAGATGACCAATTAAGAGTATGACTGAGGCCTACAGTCACCACGTAATCCAAAGTTGTCTCACCTTCACTATATGTTACTCTCGTAATGCACAATACACCGCACCTTATAAAAAATGAAATTGAATGAAAAATAGTAAAGCTACGTTAACAAAGTTAAATACGCTTACCATAAATTACCACTTGGCACCAGTACCTGAGTGAGGCTCCTAGGACAGGCCCCCATAAACTTGTGACGGTAACGCGTTGGTGTTCGGCTGTTTAAGGCTAGGGGTATGGCCTCGTCACATAGTTATAAAAAAAAAATAGAAAAACTGGAACTTCGTCTGTGGTAAGGTAAGGAGAAGACACACAAAACACAAGTAAAACTTTAACAATGAAATTTTAATGACGTTAAATAAATCAAAACATGAAAATAATGCACAAACAAATATGTATAATAAAATCAATCAATCAAAATAATAAGAATACTTAAATGACAAAATGAAAAGTTACGTTAAGGCAAAATAACAAGAAGTGCAATACAACAGTAAGTGGGAGGTGCTGGAATATTGGCTTAAAGCCACCACCTCTCTCAGTACACTCTAGAGTCTAGCTGGGAGGAGTGCTGGCTACGAAAGCACGGAACATTCTGAAGACTGATGTTGGGGGACCCCAGACATCAGGTAGTATTGGGGGGCGAGTGCAGGTGCAGCCAGACCGGCGACCAATCAGCGGAGCCGTAGCGATCAACGGGTAGTTTGGTGATTTGGGTCCGAACAGGTGGCGGGCTGCATACGTTTCTGCTCACCCTGGCAAGCCTTGCTGGTGCTGGTGTTGTTGTCGGACATTTCTTCCATAGTCTTTTATATAGTTGTGAAGACGTAATTATGAAGGGAAGAGCAGGCTCAATCTCTTGAAGGAGATTATCGTCACAACCTATATGAGGGTTTGGGAGTTCTCTACTCAGCAAGCCCGGCCCGGGGCCAGGCTTGAGCCATATGGACAGAGACGAAGTGGACAGAATCAGTCATTTCCAGCAGAGGGTCAACAGACGGAAGGAGCATAGTTGGTTGTTGGAAACAGAGGAGTCAGAAATGCAAGGAAATACTTTGACATAATTAGAGGTGTTAACAAATGTAATGGGCTTGAACCGGTGGTGATACAAGCTGCTGACATCCACAGTTTCACAGGTATGACAAGGAGAGTGTCGCTGTATGAATTTAACAGCTACAGCAGCTATGAATTCGGTCTAGCTGGATCTCGCACTCCGTAGACATAACTAGGTAAGCACAACAAGGTAAGTACAACAAGGTAAGCACAACTAGGTAAGCACACACACGCACGCACTTATTAGCGGTGAATGACGCATGCTCCCGGCGCTTGGCCTGCGGGCCAAAATTCTACAATTCCATTCCACCCAGATATGTCAGAAAAGCTTTAACAGTGGTCATCAAACTGTGCACAAAATGGCCACTGACTGAACAACTGGTTATCACACAACTGTGCAACTCTGACAACACTTGCCAACACTAGGAAATACCAAACAATAGTTAACACTAATGAACAGCTTAAGAACACGTTTACAACCTGCTAGACAGCATGCCAGTAGAAGATGACCTATCAACCTGTCCAGCGGAGGAATGACTACCCCCTAGAGGATGGGAAGGCAGCGAAGACCAGGACAAACTAATGTATATAAAAAGACAGTTCATAAAAGACAGTTCGACTGACGGACTGGTTGCAAATGTGCTAGTGGATGGGTTTCCTGGCGAGGCATGAGTAGAGGGGGTCGTCTTGATGAAGGGGAAGGGGTAGAGCTGAAGAAGGGGTGTACATGCTAGTGATGGGATGGGGGAGAGGGGGTTAATGCCGTGATGGGAAGGGGGGGAAGAGTGGTTAATGCCGGTGAGGTAGGGAGGGAGGGGAGCAAGAAGGTGCCCGAGGACCCTGGGTGATGAGTCTCAAGGTCGCTCGCTCCTCGCGCCAATTTTGTGCCTCTGCCGTCCTCACCCCCCCCCCCTTTCCAAGCACTGCTACTGTCCGTCCAGCTGCTGCTGGACCTCTTCCAATCCCAATCCTCGCTACATGGCTAATACTGTATGTTCAACATTAATACAAGCAGCAGCATCACACGGGGGTTGAACGCTGGGCTGGGAGTGGGTGTTTATCACATCCTGCTAGAACACGAGCCGTCCCTCGGTTCGCTAAACTCCATCAATAGTGAGAGATTGTTCGCATTCTCACCGAGGCAGAATAGTTCAAATATATTGATTCCTTCAACAAGTTGTAGGTGATGTGTCTACACTCGTGCTTCCTCACTCACACACACACACACCCTGTACCCTACCCCTCCCACACACACCCTGTACCCTACCCCTCCCACACACACCCCTGTACCCTACCCCTCCCCCACACACCCCTGTACCCTACCCCTCCCACACACACCCCTGTACCCTACCCCTCCCACACACCCCCCTGTACCCTACCCCTCCCACACACCCCCCTGTACCCTACCCCTCCCACACACACCCCTGTACCCTACCCCTCCCCCACACACCCCTGTACCCTACCCCTCCCACACACACCCCTGTACCCTACCCCTCCCACACACACCCCTGTACCCTACCCCTCCCACACACACCCCTGTACCCTACCCCTCCCACACACACCCCTGTACCCTACCCCTCCCACACACACCCCTGTACCCTACCCCTCCCACACACACCCCTGTACCCTACCCCTCCCACACACACCCCTGTACCCTACCCCTCCCACACACACACCCCTGTACCCTACCCCTCCCACACACACACCCCTGTACCCTACCCCTCCCACACACACACCCCTGTACCCTACCCCTCCCACACACACACCCCTGTACCCTACCCCTCCCACACACACACCCCTGTACCCTACCCCTCCCACACACACACCCCTGTACCCTACCCCTCCCACACACACACCCCTGTACCCTACCCCTCCCACACACACCCCCCTGTACCCTACCCCTCCCACACACACCCCTGTACCCTACCCCTCCCACACACACCCCTGTACCCTACCCCTCCCACACACACCCCTGTACCCTACCCCTCCCACACACACCCCTGTACCCTACCCCTCCCACACACACCCCTGTACCCTACCCCTCCCACACACACCCCTGTACCCTACCCCTCCCACACACACCCCTGTACCCTACCCCTCCCACACACACCCCTGTACCCTACCCCTCCCACACACCCCCTGTACCCTACCCCTCCCACACACCCCTGTACCCTTCCCTCACACCCTGTACCCTACCCTCTCACACCCTGTACCCTACCCTCTCACACCCCCCCTGTACCCTACCCCTCCCACACCCTGTACCCTTCCCTCTCACACCCTGTACCCTACCCTCTCACACCCTGTACCCTACCCTCTCACACCCCCCCTGTACCCTACCCCTCCCACACCCTGTACCCTTCCCTCTCACACCCTGTACCCTACCCTCTCACACCCTGTACCCTACCCTTCCACACACCCTAAGTACCGCGCTGAAAGTGTCTCTGAACGAACAAGTGTTGTACAGCCGCTCGTCCTCCAGTAACTTCAGTATCGACACACTTAAAACACACCCAGCCAAAGCACTTAAGCTGTGCCTTTATACAATAATAACAGCGCCAAACTGGTGCTATTGTCTGCATAAGCACTTTATACTGTTTTATACTATTATAAACGCTCGTTTATAATAGAACTTCTCACTGGTTCTATTCTGCACTTCCTTCCGTAACTTTCGCTCCATTTTATTATTACAAGCACTCATGCATATTGTAAAATTAAACAAAATATACCTGACAAGCCCGAAGGCCAAATTACTGGTAATGGCAGAAAACAAAAGAATGGGGAAGACAATTTTAAAATATTAATATACCTGTCTGTGAGGCCGTTCTTCTCTATGTGAGCGATGACGTATCCTGTGGTGGCACCGCGGGAGTTCCTGCGGGCAGTGATGTAGATGCCCAGTTCCCCAGTGTGGTCCTTCACCAGCCGCATCAGCCGAAACGTGCGCGGCGTGGGCGAGTGCGCCAGGGACACCGGCAAGGAGAGTGGCGCTGAAGAATAGGTATCGGAGACTGGTCTGGAGGACGCCTGGCTCCTCAGGTGTCCCCGTAGAGGCGTGCTGCCCTCCCACCATGGACACGGACCTTCCCCATCCTCGCCAGACTCTCTGAACACGCTGAGAGCACCGCGTAGCGGACTTAGCGGTGAGGTGCGGCGCTCCAACTGAGAGGCCAAGAACCTCTGGCGACGAATGATGAGGTCCTGAGGGTCAGACAGCCGCCGTGGACCCCGAGGACGACTTGGGACCAGTTTCTCCTCGTCAGTCAAGTTGTGAACAAGCGGGGTAGCAGGCTGGTGCTCAGTCTGGTGACGGCTATAGTGCGAGGCTCTGCCATAGTCCGGGTAGTCCTCGCCACACTGTGGTGTCGTCGGCTGTGACTCGTGGTAGCTGCTCGACTTGCTTCTCAACTCTACTTTTGGCATGTCATCCAGCTTGGAGTAATCGGGTTTAGAGTAATTATCGAGATTAGGATAATTATCTGGTTTACTGTAATGATCAAGATTAGGATAATTATTAGGTTTAGCATAGTTGTCAAGATTTGGATAATTATCGGGCTTCACATACTTCTCCAGTCTGGCATAATTGTCTAGTTTAGAGTAATGATCGAAGGCAGGGTGGTCAGCACCAGTGAAGGAGCCAGAGTCAGAGTTGGTCTCCGAGTGGCTCTCTGTGCTGACGCCTGAGTCGGCGTCGCTCTCTGTCTTCTTCACCCGAGCTTTGGGCGACTCGTGGCGAGCGCCTCCCCCGTCACTTTCGTAGCCGCTCTCGTTGCTGCTCAGGTACACGGCCGCTGACCTCTGCTCACTGCGACTCCGGTACCTGTGGGGCCGTTGGGGCGGACATGCTTGTTGCTTCGCCTCTTGTTGAGTGGATGAGAAAATGACGTCGGTTTCTGTGATGGTAGTCGCCGAGAAGGAGCGAGTTCGCGGCTGAAGAGGTGCGGGAATTGGGTGCAGTCGCAGTTTGAGGCCACTAATCCCTCGATGGGCAGGGCTGATGGCGCAGTTCTCTTCCGATACAGCTCTTAATTTTTGTCGTATCAGTTCTCTGGTGTCTTCGTCGCAGACGGAGTCCCGCAGCGTGGTCATCCGTCTGCTGGAAGGGCGCGTCGGTGTGTCACTGGGAGCTTGGGCGGCCAGCTCCTGAGGCTGCTGCTGGGAGGTAGGAGGGCGGGAGCGGAGGAAGGCATGAGGGAAGGAAGCTCTGGCACCTCCCAGCGAGGAGATATTCTCACAGCTGACGGTTTTGGTGGGGAGGTAGATGGCGGCGGTGTTGGGGGGAGTGGTGTGGGGTGGAGTTCGGGTGAGGTCCAGGCCAGCTGCAGGGTCCTCGGCTGCCAGGTACGTGCCCAGCTGCGACGCCGAGCAGGAGCGGTACAGCTGACGACACTCTCCGCTGCGACTCTCCGGCGAGGGCGTGCCTGGCACCGACCTTCCTCCCCACGATAACCCTGGTAGTGGCGACGACGGCGACGCGCTCGCCGTGCTCACAGACCTGTATGAGCAAGAGGAACTTTTTACTCAGTTTGTACAAATACTGCTATTAAAAAAGCATACATTCCCCGTGCCCCCGTCCCATCCCAAATCCTTATCCTAATCTGGTGCTACATAGCCTTCCCGGTTTGGTGCCTTCTATTGATAATTACTTATCCTGATCCTTTTCCCAGTGCTATATAGTGGCAATGGCTTGGTGCTTTCTCCCTGATAGTTCCCTTCCCGTGCCCAACCACTTGGGCTGGACGGTAGAGCGACAGTCTTGCCCCCATGCAGGTCGGCGTTCAATCCCCGACCGTCCAAGTGGTTGGGCACCATTCCTTTTCCCCCGTCCCATCCCAAATCCTTATCCCTTTCAAGTGCTATATGTAGTCTTAATGGCTTGGCGCTTTATCTTGGTAGCTCCCTTCCTTCCCGTGCCAGAGCAACATGTCGTGTACCTACATATACATGGATTGTATATCCATATGCATGCACTAATACATACATGTGTATACACTTTATATATATATATATGTCGTACCTAGTAGCCAGAACGCACTTCTCAGCCTACTATGCAAGGCCCGATTTGCCTAATAAGCCAAGTTTTCCTGAATTATTATATTTTCTCGAATTTTTTTCTTATGAAATGATAAAGCTACCCATTTCATTATGTATGAGGTCAATTTTGTTTTATTGTAGTTAAAATTAACGTAGATATATGACCGAACCTAACCAACCCTACCTAACCTAACCTATCCTATCTTTATAGGTTAGGTTTGGTTAGGTAACCGAAAAAAGGTTAGGTTAGGTAGGTTAGGTCGTCGAAAAAACATTAATTCATGAAAACTTGGCTTATTAGGCAAATTAGGCCTTGCATAGTAGGCCGAGAAGTGCGTTCTGGCTACTAAGTACGACATATATATATATATATATATATATATATATATATATATATATATATATATATGTCGTACCTAATAGCCAGAACGCACTTCTCAGCCTACTATTCAAGGCCCGATTTGCCTAATAAGCCAAGTTTTCATGAATTAATGTTTTTTCGTCTACCTAACCTACCTAACCTAACCTAACCTAGCTTTTTTTGGCTATCTAACCTAACCTTACCTATAAATATAGGTTAGGTTAGGTTAGGTAGGGTTGGTTAGGTTCGGTCATATATCTACGTTAATTTTAACTCCAATAAAAATAATTGACCTCATACATAGAGAAAAGGGTTGCTTTATCATTTCATAAGAAAAAAATTATAGTAAATATATTAATTCAGGAAAACTTGGCTTATTAGGCAAATCGGGCCTTGAATAGTAGGCTGAGAAGTGAGTTCTGGCTACTAGGTACGACATATATATATATATATATATATATATATATATATATATATATATATATATATATATATATATATATATATATATATATATATATGTAGGTACACGACATGTTGCTCTGGCATTTGTTGTTAGTGTGTGTGTGTGTGTGTGTGTGTGTGTGTGTGTGTGTGTGTGTGTGTGTGGTCTATATATATATATATATATATATATAGACCACTATATATGTGTATATATATATATATATATATATATATATATATTATATATATATATACACATATATATACATATACATACATACACACACACACACACACACCACACACACACACACTGACAACAAATGCATTTAATAATTAATTAGCTGGAAGAGCGCGTCGGTGTCACTGGGATCTTGGGCGACCAGTGATCAATTCCCATTAATCAAAGAACTTGAAATATGAATTGTATTCCAAGTTGTAAACTTATCCCAACCAGTCCAAAAGAGCCTAGACACAAGGTGGTAACTACTGGAGGTGCACCCAACGGGAGGTAGGGTGGAGGGCGTCCACACCTGCTCCAGACAGCACTAGAGGAAAGATGGCTTTGGTCTTACCTGGTGGAGCTGGACCTGGAGAACCCGCCAGAGTTGACCTTCTCCTTGCTGGGTGTGCGGGTGAGCTGCTCCAGCTTCTTCCCCACACGCCTGCCCCACGTCGCCAGACCTGAAGCACATACGGGCTCTAAATTATTCACTTGCAAGAGACAAAATGAGGAAATTTACCTCTTTCCTGCGCGTCTTCAGGATTTACGTCAAGATTTACATCTACTTTGAGGTGTGTTTTGGAGACTGGGCTCAAGCCAGGGTGCTTCGGGCGTCACCCGACACTGGGCTCAAGCCAGGGTGCCTCAGGCGTCACCCGACACTGGGCTCAAGCCAGGGTAGTGCAGGCATCCCCTTGCAGCCCCTCGTAACACCAACAACCAGAGAGCAGCCCCCTGAGCGCTGCCTGTACCAGAATGCCAGCCTCATCCAGATATGGGAAAAGCTCGTTAAAGATTTAAGCAATGAACACACCACAAGCTTCTAACCTCCGCTACCAAGCAATCAGTAAAGCATCTGAAGTATTGGAGAACAGTCTAAGACTAACCCAGATGAACTCTCTGGAACGTACATCTTGATCTTATCTATCTATATATATAGCATTGTATGTGTTTGTGTTTTTTTTTATCTGTCCAATGTTAAAGGCTTGTGGCTAGCCTCACTCAACTTTGAAGGGTGTATAGTCTGGGGTACGGGACGGACATAGGGTGATCGGGTTAAGGTGACGTGTGCCCCCCCCCCCCCCCCACCTCCCATAGAAGACCAAAATCGAAATGGGGGAAATATTACGTTGTGTGAATGCCATTTAATATTATAATGAAAAGATGACACTTACTTTTATTATGATGGAAAATATTGTAATATAGAGATGCTGGGGTGGAGGGATGGGGGGGGGGGGTGAGTATGGGGTGCATAATAATAAAGAAAGAAATTGAATTTCCCCGTTTTGGTCATTGTGTCTGCAGACCAAGTCAATTGTTGCAGAGCTCTCTGCTATCCCGTGTGTTCTTAAGGAGAGTATTATATGCAACGGATTCCATTTGTAAACAATTCTGTGATGTCACAAGTGTACTTCAAGTCCCTTGAGGCTTTAAGCGCGATTTTTTGATTGACTGGTATTAGAAAAGAAATGTGAACTGAGCATGTAAAGTAATAAGGAAGGCGATGCTGGGGGCCATAAATGTGCTGGCGTACTTTGCCACAACAAGGTGTTTCCTCCCATACGCTGATTTCCTCACATTGGGGAAACTCTGGACACAAATACCCGACAGATTCAAGTTCAATTACGTTTATTGAGCCAATAAAATACATCTCAAAGGGATAGAATAGCTTAAGCTATTTCTACCCTCCACCTGAGAGATTGCCGAGGATAACATTTATTCCCTCTCGTGGCGAGTCGTTTCATTTTATTGAAGAGGCTAGTGGAACAAAGGAACATAAAAATGTTAAATAAAAAGGGTATTCACGTAACTTCGGAAACGAAGTCACTTGAAACAGTGGAGATCGAAGGTTATAAAGTGGAGCTTTTATGCATGTCTCAAGTACGAAGGCTACTTAAATCTTACAATTTAATAAACTAAATGAAGCATAAGCATCGTTAATGATGATTACTTGTTATTAGTACCTTTCTTTGGCGTCTTAGGTGTGGCTGAGGCGGTGGTGCTCGAGGCGGTGCTCGAGGTGGTGCTTGAGGTGGTGGAGGCTGTGGTTGAGGTGGTGGAGGCTGTGGTTAAGGTGGTGGAGGCTGTGGTTGAGGTGGTGGAGGCTGTGGTTGAGGCGGCGGTGGATGAGGTGGTGGAAGTGGTGGAGGCGGGAGGACAGTGTATGGCGGCGTCAGGGGCGGGAAGGTGGAGAACCCTGGCGGGTACGGCCGTCACAGTCTGGTAGCGAGACGTTCCCCCCTTCCTTTTGACTTCCTCCCCCTTCGTCACCGCCGCCACCACCACCTTGTCCCCCGCCGCGGGCGTCGACGGAGTCCTGGCTTGTCCCTTACTCGCCTGTGGCGCAGCAGCAGGGGCGGCGGCCCTGCCCTTTTGACCTCCACCACCATCCTTGGAGGGTGAGGCTGCTAGACGTGGATCACTGTGCCGACGACGGAACAAACGCATCATTCTTGTAGCTTCCTTCCTTCCTTCCTTCCGTGTAAGGTTTCCTTCCAGGTGCTTCACACGCCGGCCAGATGCCTCACTCGAACCCGACGCAGCACCATCACCATGGCGCCCACACCCTGCAAGGCAAATGAATGAGCATTATTACAAGGGAACTCGTTAGGTAAAATGTATACAAGTGTGACACCCAGCATGGAGCACCACTCCCTCGCTGCCTATTACGGAGGTGCCACCCCACCACTATAGTTAACACCCCCACCCCTCCCCACAGCAACACCCTCACACGCATGAATGCACGGACACACGGACACACACTTAAGTAAGGATGCTTAAGAATACTTAAGTGTCCCCTTGTTTAAGCACAAGAAGCATGAACAACAATCTTACCAACACAACGAAAATTTCCTTACATTTCTTCGACTCGTTTGAGTTTCCAGCTTTCATTCGGGAAGAATATAAGTAGAAGCTGGATAGGCAAATGAGTCTAAGAAATGTCAGAACATTTTCGTACCCAGTACAGGACAGGTGGTCAACATGTGGAACACCCTGAAAGCAAGTGGAAACCACATTCACACAGTCAGGTTAGGTTCCACGTTCAAGTGGAGGACAGTTCCACACGGTATTCGAACGTCAGAATAGTTGAACTGTAACATAACAGGTACACACAGAAATCACAATAGCGTGATGCATCAAATGAAGGCAGCGTCTGGGATGCTCTCGGACGCAGGTTCGAATCCTCGTCACGGCCCTTGTGGATTTGTTCATAACAGGTACAGCAAAGCCAGTATGTGAGCCCTTTTACTTCCCCGCAAGGAAGAAAGTACTCCTCTCGCGAAAAGCCTTCGTTAGCTCCAGTTACTTCCTCCAACCTTACTGCGACCCTTCCCTCCCCCAACCTCCAACCCTCCCCCCCATACCCCTTCAACGTCATCAAAGAACAATAAACACGTGCAGGTGTACAGGTGTTCCACCACACCCCCAACACCGCCCCTCACCCTCCTCCCAACACCTGTGGGCGCTTCCATTCGTATAGAATGAAACTGTAGTTTTATTTAGTACGGTAATGTAGAGCAGTTTGGTGACATTCCACAGGAATACACTCTAGTACACTTTAAACTGTGACACGCTCTGACCATCATCAACCTTCTCATAGCGTGTTCTTCCCCCACCACCATCGGCTTCACCAACACCTCCCCCGCCAGCACATCACCCAGCACCTCCCCCGCCAGCCAGCCGGGCCGAGATGGGGGTCAGAGATGGCACACCAGCTGCGGAAGTTGACAACTGTGACGCATTAAATGAAGAGAACTTATCCCTGCATACTCTTTGGCTGGGATAGGGCGTCTTACGGAGTGACACAGCTGCCCTCTGGGACCTGTGAGGGGTCCCAGAGCTGTTCCTAGGGGTTCCTAGGTCCCCAGGGTGTCCCTAGGTGTGTTTGGAATGAGAGAGAAGTGCGTAGGATTTTTTTAACTCATTCTATATAATGGCTCTAGATGCGTGGAAAGAATACCAACATTTTTTCAAAGTTAGCAAATGAAGTCCCAAACTGCAGTCCGGGTTAAAGTTGGTGACATCAAGATGTCCAGTGTGATCATATTTCTCCGTGATGTCCAGTCGTCTTTAACCCCCCCCCCCCCCCCAAAAAAAAAAGAGTTCTTTATCATTTCCATACAGTGCCCCATATGCACTATTATCTACTGTATTATCACTTTCTACTGTATTAGCGAATCCTCGCTAGAGTGTCCATGTTTGATTTATTGATTTATTTATTCAGAGGTGGAAGTGAGCACATGCGACCACGGTGTGATCGACTGGGTACAGCTTCACCCTGTACCAAATCTCCCAATACTTCCCATGCTCACACAATCCATTGTGATAACCTCGATGACGCTGCCACTCTTAAACATGAAACAAAAAGAGTATCTGTGACATACTCTTTTTGTTTGTTGATGTTGAGAGGTAAACAAAAGGGATTCGAAGGGTCAGCGGCGACCTTTAGGTTGACGTGGCTTAAGTGAGGCAGATTACCTACTGAACGTGTCGCGGTGTGTGTGACGGCCACACCTGGGGTGACGCGGCCACACACGAACCTCTGAAACAAGAGATGCCATACCAATGACTTCATTTTAAGACACGTACTCTCTAGGGTGGAATATTGTTGCACACTAATAGCCCTTGCTGGTGACCCTGGGCCTTGGTGGGTGACCCTGGCCATACAATGTAGGAAGTTGTGGCTATGTCACAGATAGCCACAACTTCCTACATTGTATGGCCAGGGTCACCCACCAAGGCCCAGGGTCACCAGCAAGGGCCAGGGTCACCCACCAAGGCCCAGGGTCACCAGCAAGGGCCAGGGTCACCCACCAAGGCCCAAGGTCACCAGCAAGGGCCAGGGTCACCCACCAAGGCCCAGGGTCACCAGCAAGGGCCAGGGTCACCCACCAAGGCCCAGGGTCACCAGCAAGGGCCAGGGTCACCCACCAAGACCCAGGGTCACCAGCAAGGGCTATTAGTGTGCAGCAATATTCCACCCTAGAGAGTACGTGTCTTAAAATGAAGTCATTGGTATGGCATCTCTTGTTTCAGAGGTTCGTGTGTGGCCGCGTCACCCCAGGTGTGGCCGTCACACACACCGCGACACGTTCAGTAGGTAATCTGCCTCACTTAAGCCACATCAACCTAAAGGTCGCCGCTGACCCTTCGAATCCCTTTTGTTTACCTCTCAACATCTTGACTCCCTCTCGTTCTCCACCCCTCCCCTAGTCTCCAACCCCACCTCCCCCACCAATCCCCCTCAAAGCAGTACGTCACGCTTAGTGGGTTGTCATACCTGCGTGGGGGTTCTGGGAGTTGTTCTACTCCCCACAAGATTAGCTGGGAGGGGGAACAGTATGTTGGGGGATTGTAGGGGGTCCATGAGACTTGGGGGTTGTAGGGGGTCCATGAGACGAGGGGGAAGGGGGGTAGGGGATGCAAGACACACGATCACCATAGAGATTAGGGGATCCAATTCCAAGCCGTCTTTTGTTTTCCCCTTCTCTCCCCAGGTGCCTCTGGTCCCGCCAGCATCGGGACAGTAACAAGAGCGGCGCGATGATCGAGGGTCACCCGAGACGCAGAGAGTTGTTGGAGCAGTGTGCACCCGGGTTGATGGGTACCTTGAGCGGGTACCCATCAACCCCACCCGTCACCCGCTCGGGGTACCCATCAACCCCACCCGTCACCCGCACGGGGTACCCATCAACCCCACCCGTCACCCGCACGGGGTACCCATCAACCCATCATCATCCAGCATAACCAACCAAGTCAGCCAGAAAAATTATAGGGTAGATTACGAGAACCTTCAAATCCAGGGATCCCATCACAATGGTTGTACTCTTCAAATCACTTATCACTTGTCAAATCAACCGAGCTTTAGGAATATGTGGGCCTGCAGGCCTCTCCAAGCAACAGTCTGTTGGACCAAGCTCTCACAAGTCGAGCCTGGCCCCGGACCGGGTTTGGAGTCGCAACCCCCAGAGCCCCCACCAGGTAATCAATTGTAATCCAGGTACAATTAAGGTACCTGTGAAGCCCCCACCACCACCCACCCGTCAAGGACCCCCACCAGTATGAGCCAGCGAGGCGGAACGTGTACAGCTGTCCCATTACTGTTGTGCTTACACCATCAGTATACATTAATACTCCATAAGGTTGACTTGCCTAACTCTAATTTACCTCAGGACTTGTCCCTGAGGTTGGTGGCGCGAGTGATCCTCCCGGCTGCCAGCTGGGAGCACAGGCCACCCAGAGAAAGAGAGATTATTAAATTATCACTAATGGCTCGCCTTTTCTCCTTCACCTCGTATGAAGGTCCCGGGCACTGGAGGTCCCTGGTAACCAAAGAAGGGAACGGGAGAACTCGAGGACCGTTGTCTCTAAGACGCTGTGCTAGTTCAGGCAGTAGCCGGACCGGAGCTGTTCTGGACCCGTAAGTCCGAAATGCACACGAAAAACAAACTGTCAGCCGGACGGGTCCTCACGCCCCTGGAACCCATTAACCGGAATGACGAGGGGTTGTGTGAGAATGTGGCCGCTCATCCTCCATGTCCCTCTGCGCCCTCCTGGCGTGCCCTCCGCCGTCACACTCCCTCAGTTTCTTCAACCAGAAGCAATAACAAACGAACGCGTTGCATATTGCAAAGCAACCATGTGTGTTGACCAAACCACACACTAGAAAGTGAAGGGACGACGACGTTTCGGTCCGTCCTAGACCATTCTCACAATCGACTTTAGAATGGTCCAGGACGGACCGAACCGTCGTCGTCGTCCCTTCACTTTCTAGTGTGTGGTTTGGTCAACACATTTCAGCCACGTTATTGTGACTCCTCGTCTGCAACCATGTGTGTGTTTTTAACTCTGCAACGGAGACGCGAGGCATCACAATACATGCAAGATACTTGAAAGCTGCGTTCCTTATGTGCACAACAAAATTTACTAGAGAGAGAGATATGGTAAGAAAAGCAGAAGAGAGCCAGTGAAGAGTAGAGTAGAGGGGCTACAAGCGTAGTCAGAGAACACTATATAAACATCAGAGACCCGCGGCTCTTCAACCTCCTGCATACCGGAAAACAAGTTGAGGTTCTCAAGAGGCAATTAGATAAACTACTGCAGAAAACGACAGATGGGATTTAACGCCTATTACGTCGACCTGTAGGCCACTGCAAGCAACAGCCTTTCATTATCAGTATACAGAATGTCTCAAATAGATTGATTTCTATCTGCTCTGTTCGTGTTGATATATTTTCAGGGGTTTGGATATCATGCATTAAGAAGCTGTCCGGATTTTCAACTTTCATGGTGTTTATTGGGTTGTTATTGAGTTTATTGTGCTTTTGAACGTTAGTAAGATAACTGTTCATCTTTTCTCAATCTATACTTTTATTATTATATTAAAATTTTGAATAACCCCTCTCTATTCATAATTTTTTTAGACCTATTACCAACATATATGTTAGTTTGTACATCAATGAGCTTGTGATCTGAGTATGTGGTATCTGAGACTGTAATGTCCCTGATTATGTCTTCATTGTCTGTGAAGATCTAGAATATTTTCGGTCCTTGTTTGCTCTGTTAT